CAATACAAAATCATCAATATGAACTTTTGGATCTTTTAAAGTTATAACAAGATGACGAAGAGAACTAAATATTTGTGATACACGTTGTAATAGATCAGAGTCAATATCAATCCAATCCATAATATTAAGACGAATAATTCGAGTTTTTAATAGATAACATGTAGATTCATTGTCGAATAATGTTTTAAGACAATCAAAATAAATAATTAAATAGTCAAGATTTGGTGCAGCATTAAGTAAAGGATATAATTCAAATATTCCAGATGTTTCAATCTGTTTAAGAAAAGGTAATTTTAAATTGATTGATTGTGATTCTTTTGGTAAAATCACTAGACAAAGAAATAAATAAATTAATTTTTAATTCAAATTATTTTATATTATTTTTATAAAAATAAAATATAATGTAAAAAATATATCAATGAAGAAAATAAATGAAAATACTTACAAATTTCTGATTTATCTTTTGCATCAATAGTAAGTGTTCGAAGTCGACGAAAATGTTGTAATATGAGAAGTATTTCAAGCATCGATGTTATATCATAGATGTATAAATCTTTGATTTGTTGCATATATATCCAACCTGATAACATTTGTTTACTTATTGTTGCTGTTAAAATAGCTGAATTTACATCATATGGAATCGTATGAATTAGAAAGCGATGTCGTGGTTCATCTAATAAACAAGCGATAGGAATACGAGATGATGAAAAACCATTTGCTATTTTAACATCTGGATTTGATTTAGAAAAATAATAACGAATGAAAAAATCAATTTTAATTAATGATGAAGGTAGAATTGTCATAAAATCTTTTTCATTGACTAGACGCTTGTCATCTGTACGTAGATCAAGTGCAAGTTGTTGTAATGAAGGCATGGCTTTGAGTAAATAATCTATTTCATTGAATGTCCAAAAATAATTTATTGAACGTAATTGAAAATTGATTAGATGAATAAGACATGATAAACTATTATTTATTAGTTTTGATTTTGAACCATTTGACAATTCATCAATATTTATATGTAAACGACGTACATTAGGCACAAGTACAAATAGACATGGAATTAATTTACATAATGTTAGATTTATAGTAAGCTCTCGAATATTTGGATAAGATATTCCATTTATATCTTTAGGTATATCTAAATCAATTGAATCTTGATCAATTGATACTATCGTAAGTTGACTATTATTAGCAGAAAGAACTTTTGTCAAAAGTGAATCTATGATATTTCCTCTAAGAAATCGAATATCTAATTCAATAAGTTTTGAAAAATTTTGAATATTATCAATAAATAATAAAAATCTTTCACTAGTAAACCATTTAACTATTAATTTTTCAAGTTGTGGAAATAATAAAGATAGAGGTGAAATAAAAAGAAAAGAAGATAAGTTTTTATTTATGATAGTTTCCCAATTACCATTAAGTACAAATGTACGAACAAACGAACCAATTTTAGGTAGAACATAAGAAACAGCATATTCAAATTGTTTATATGAGACAGCCATTAAATTAACATAACGACAATAACCTGTTATTGTTGTATTAAGACGAGTATTAAGATTATAAAATGAATAGAGAACATCAGCTTCACGAAGATATTGAAATATAGATAAAAGAATTTCATCGGGTAACATTTCAAAAGAAGTTGAAACAAACATCTAGAACAATTATTTATCATTATTACAAACAAAAAAAATGAAGGATTTCATTTGAAATAATTTTTGTTCATTATAGATGAAACAATTATTATATCACAAATATGAAATAAAAGAAAATATTTTTCTTGTGTTAATATAAGAATGCGTAATCATCAATTTGATTGCCTATATGTACATATAATGTATTAGCAATAAAAATAAAGGATAATTAAAATTGAGTCATATTGATAGAACTTGATTAAATATATCATCGCATTGGAATATTGATAAGCCTATGAATAAATTTTCGTAGCTGTCGCTCTGTACTTATCATCTAATACAATAAGAAAGAAAGGTTCAAAAAAAAAAAAAAAAACTTTATTCTCTAAAATTTTCATCGCATCATCATAGTTATAAAATAAACAAATGAAAGATTCATTTGTTTTTTCAATACTAATTTTATGACAGTATCTTCTAATAATCTATATCATCTCGTTTTAATTTATTTAAAAAATGTTCTTGTATTTATTTATATTTGAAATTTAATTAACAATAAATAAAATATGTTAAAGTAATTGAATTCTTCTACATCATCCATTATTCTAAATCATCAGAATTCTGTGAATATCAAAAATTAGAAAAAAATTAAAGGAAAATTTCACAAGTAATCAGAATTAAAAATAATCCTCGTTAAAGTGAATAATGCGTTTACTTTATTCAATCTTCTTTCTGAAGAATTCAACGAATACTTGTATTTTTATATCTTTCAACGTCCGATATCATTAGTTAACAGCTGTAATAATATTTAGTTCATTCGTAAAATCATAGCACTAATTGATATTCTTATTATATGAATAAATAACAGTAATGATAGATCTATAGATGTAAGCAGATTGTACACGTGGCAAGATCTTCGTATCACTATCTAATATTGATTTTTAATATTTAAAATAATATTCGATATGACTGAATATTTTTCGATAATAATTAAAATATCGTTTCTTATAAACGATTATATCATAACTAGTCCTGAATCTTTATAAGATAATATGTTTGTTGTTTTTTATCTAATATTTTGTGTTTTATAATTTTTCACAGTCAAAGATCATAGTTTCTATGATGTTTCAAATCTAATTATTCTTGCTACACTTCAAATATTCTAGACAGCATAATATTGAGAGAAAAAAATAGGGAAGAAGGTGAACATGTTTGAAACTTGAACAAATCGGAACTGAAAAATCCGATAAGTAGAGCATCAGTTGTCCGAGTATCATCAGTATAAAAATTATCAAATATTCGGTTACTCTTTGAATATAAGATTTTTCAGGGAGAAAATTAATGTTTGGAGATCTTAGTTCATCTATTAAAACAAACGTTTTCAATTAAGGTTGTTAAATACATCATCAGAAATGAGGAGGATGGGTATGGGTGTTAGTTGAGATAAAACGAAGAAACACTAGCACTCACATCCACACTTGCTTGTCACGGGGCAAATTTTTCCATTCTGTCCTGTACTCAGCTCTGGCAGGAATTGTACCTATATTGTTTCATCAATAAAAAACAATAAAATATTCATATAGCAGCTTCACACAATTATTTTCCTTATAAAAATTTTGTCTAGAATAATTTATCAGTATTAATTTTGTTGAGAACAATACAGTGAACGTATTAAGAAAAAATTAAGAATTCTAATTATATCTATTGGTATTACCTATAATCAATCGAATCCATATATTTTGAATAAAAAATTTTCATCATTAGTGTTTTATCTTGAGTGACGACCTAGAAGATGGTATTTGTCAAAAAATCGAGCTGACCCTCCAGAAGTTTGTGGTTATTGTACCATGTACTGTGTATCTGTGCTTCGAAAAATAGATGTTCGCGCTCTCCAGGACTTTTAAATTATCATTTCGGAAGAGAAAACTTGCATAAAACGTTGTTTATCAGATTCATTATTTTTCACATCTGTTGAATTTCTAGTAGAAAAAATCGACATCTCTCGAGTTTGACATCAATATTCTCATCCATGTTGAATATGAGCTAGGAAAAATTAACATTTATTCGTCTTCCATTTTATGTTATACTTGGTATTGTCTATTTGTTAGTAAGATCACAATGTACAAGTTCTATTGAAAGAATATTTATAGTTTTATCTTCGATAGACATATATGCAATAACTTCATTAAAACATGTATTATTTGTGTTTAGTTAGCAATCGATTGCTATTCAATATGCTTCTGTTGTCTTATTATTACTATTCATAAATCTATTATGAATACTATTGTTGTCAGACAATGTATCATGACAGATGTCTATTCGTTAATATTTGTGATCTATCAAATGTTCATAGTTAATATTCTGTTGTCTTATATAGTTGATAGTGTACTGCATCGTGGTTGACTATTTTCGAGTTTTAAGTGTATAGAATAAAATCACGTTTTGTTTTCGAACTATATAGATTTCGTTCAGTTTTGTTGTTATTATAAATCTAGTTATCAAACTTGAAGTTACCATGCTACATAAATGAAAATATCATTTAATAATCCTCGTGATTAGGCTATTATGAAGAGATTTTTCTCTGCAACGCTATATAGTAACCTTACTATTAATGAATCATTATATAGTTGAACAAAATCCATATGGTTCGAAAAAGAATCCATGAACTTATTATACGTACTTAGAATTTAAAAATAGTTAATCACGATAAAGAATACTAATATTCGAATATGAAAAAAAAGAATAGTTTCTGTCCGACATGATGAAATAATACATCGAACAAAACACTGACAATTGGTTTGTATGGAAATAATTCAAAATTATTGTTTATATCATATCAACTGAACTTGTTCCAATGACGATATTCTACATAGAATTAACAGCAAATGTAATAGGTAAAAGTCAAAGTAGAAAAAATGATTAAATCATTCCTTTCATTTATTGCATTTAATTTTCTTTTATACTTCAACAGATGGACTACATTGTTTTTATCTATTATTGTAATCATTTTCCAACTGTTCTTGTTCGTCTATTTAAAAAGAATAATTGTATTCAACTAATTAATATTACTTTTAATAATAATACATTAGTTTTAGATAGAAAATATTAATTATTTTACAAAATAAGCTTCTCTTGTAGACAAGCGATCAGAAAACAATTGGTGGCAATTGCCATACGTGGAAATTTGATTGTGGTCCACCAATGATCTCTCTAATAGTAGAATATATGTTATGTTTGACTAGTAGCTGATACTCAACATTTTTTAATTCATTTATTTTGAGGCAAAAAGAAGATTTCATCTCATTCTTTCGAATTCATTTACACAAATGATAATCTATAAATAATGATTTCTTGATGGTATGTTTAGTTAACATCAAGATAAAATGACATGATTCCAGTGCTAGGATTTCCTACATGATTTAACATAAATGAGATTGTATATGTATTTCCAATTGTAGCCATAAAAGATTGACTTAGAAAAGAGATAGAAGAATTGCTTGTGTTACAATAAACCATGAAACAATTTCCAGATAATCCAGAACATTCAAGACCAGAAACTATTTGACTTGCACATGTTGTTTCACATGATGTAATCCAACCAAGTATATTCATTGTTGAATTTTCAAAACTAGGATTGGTTAATAATTCAATCGAAGATACATTATTGTCTACAACAGATACAGTATCCAAATAAAATCTATGCATATTATCAGTTTCAAAACCAAATAAAAGTGTTGGTGTTGTTTTTATAGCTGAATAGTTGTAAGAATATGATATCCATCCGGATGGACTTGATCTATTTAAAATTGCAATTAATCCATGATCAGTACTTGAGCATATCATGGCTATGATAAAAAGAAAAAAAAAATAATTTGTTCATTTATCAACTAAAATTATTTCAGAATATATTTTATCGAACAAAATTTTTACATAAGATTTTTTAATTTTATTTATTTTAGCTTAAAACGTTTCTGAAAAGAACCTTTAAAAAGTATCTACTAATTGAATACTCTCTTCAGAATGAGATATCTTTGCTTTGTTGAATATTAGTTAAAGAATAAAACAACCATAAAACCAATCGTATTATGTCATTTGTATTTTTAATACATACATGTAGATATTTCTGATTTCACTATTGCCGATTCTAAAAAAGTAACATGATTTTATCATAGATAAGATCATTTCAATTCTAATTACTTTGAGTGGCTGTATCATTGTGTGTCGAAGCTAGAAGAATTCATTAAAATATATGTATTAATGGAAAAAATCTTATAAAAAAAAAAAGATCTAATTATCATATTTTTAATCATGTTTGTTGTTTTTTCTATTAGCATGATCCTTATTATACCTTGTACCCTTGAAAACGACAATGTTGACACAATCATCACTATTATAGCTTTCAAATATGACATGCAAGAAAATAAATCAAGTATTTAAAAATATACATACGTAGAATTATACCCAGAACAATAGCAACAATCGCAATTATGAGAATAAAACAAAAAATAGCTGCAAAAATCAAAAACCAAGGTCGTCGAAAGAAGCTTTTTTGTCTAGAAAATAAAAAAAAAACGAATATTAATATTATTTTATTGATAAAAATTTTATTATTATGAAATATTTAATTTACTGTTCATTATTCCTAAGATCTCTTGGCAATTCTGCATTTGAACTTATTGAATTATGAATTTCTGGTGCAACTTGATTTTGACCTCTAGTTGCCCATTTGTTTGCTGACTAAAACAATACGATAAAAATAGAAAACTTTAAGAAAAAATTCCTACTGTCGTAGATGGATAATTAAAATCATTAGCGATTTGAGTTGCTTGAATTTCTCTTAGACTCATACGCCGAATTTTAGGTAGTTTTGGTACACGCGAAATGTTTGATACACGCATTGTTTTTTTCACGTTATTTTCCTCTTAAGTCAAACAATCAACTGTTGTCGATATATTATTGATGTCTAATATGATTTGATTTTTATACTTGCACAACTTTGTTTGATTTTAATCAAACCTAAGAAAGCAACGCAATTCAATGAAAAACAAATCTTCTTTATTTTCGTTGTTTATTTAATCATCGAGTGTAATGAAAAAAAAAGAAAAGAAATCATCGAACTTATTATAATATGTCATGTAAAATGCATTGGAATTCTAAAAGAAAATTAATAAAATCATTAGCTTTTCAATTTTTAAAAATTTTAATCAATAGATTTCGAGTTTAATATCTTTATCTATATGTTATTTGCATTTATATTCATCATGATTGTTTTGTATGAGAATATATTTTTCAATGATTTATTTTTTGTATTAAAATTTTTGACTAAAAATTATAAAAATATTTTAGTGAGATTTGTTTCTTTTTTTTTCTTTCATTTCATCGGTCTTCATTATGACAAAACAATATTCAATAATTTCTTATTGTTTTTCGTATGGTCTTTGAAGAAATTGTTCATTTTTTTCTGTTTTATTTGCACATGGTGGGTATGGATCACCTCGACAAGCAAATAATATTTCCATTGTTGCACCAAAATCTCTAGGATGATGAAAACACCATGTTCCATCTTGTCTAGGTGGTGAACACCATAGAAGAGAATCTCGAATATGTACTTCAAACTGTGATGAAGGTGCTGGTAAATCAATAGGAATTGATTCTAAAGTGAAATTTAATATTCCATTAACATCTTCGTATGTTTTCTTAGATGAATATGGAAGAGTTGTAATTGGTAAAGAACGAATTTTTTCAAGAAGAAGAAATTCAGGTAAACGAATACGTTCTTCTGACCAATAGAGTAAAAATTTTTTAATATCAAGTTGATATGTTATTGGAATAGTAGTTAAATTCGATGAAAAAGCAGGAAAAATAAATGTTCGATTTTGTAATTTTGTATGTTGAAGAATAAGAAGAGAACGAATAAGAAGATTTCGAAGATTAATTGACATATTTCTATTAAATAAAAAATAAAACTTAACTAATCAATATAATTCTCATTTATTTTTCTTACATATTTTCTATTGTAACTGTAAAAAATTTTGGTTTTATTTCACCATAAAATTTTTTTGATCTTATTCCATATTTAGCTGCTTGATTAAACAACACAAAAGCACTACCATCTGTCATTAAATGTGAATAATGATTTCCAAAATCATGTGTTGTCCAATTGAATAGTAAAGATGATATTGGTTTCATTGCTTTTAAATAAGTTTTATCTAATCGATCATAATTATTAAGTAAAGCATCAAGTACACGTTGATCAGAAAGAAAACCACTTTTACCATAACGTATCCAAAATTCAGCAATATAAGAAAAAAATAATATTGATGCATTTGTTGATTGAACAAAAAATAAACCAATATTAACACGTGGATGAGATCCATAATGATGACTTATTTGTAAATCATAAATATCTAATGGTTGTTTTAAATAATCAAGTAAATTCTTTCTCCTACAATAATAATAATAATAATAATAATATAATAGATTTTTATGAAACATAATTATTTCATAAGTATGGAATTTATAATTGAACAAGATTTTATTATTTCTCATAGATAGAAAATATCTATAATGATCTCTAAGGATTTGGCATGTTAGAAATAGTTTTTGGCTAGATGAAAAACAATTCTTATAATTATTCAACTATGGAACCATGAAAATTTTTCTTCAAGTATAAATCTGAATCAGGAGAATTCCACAACAAAATACCAGCAGCAAAAGTTAGAGGTTATCGTTCAGTTACGTCCTGCGACTTAAATTTCGACTTGGTTTTTAATATATCTTATAGTACATCAGATTGTCATAGTAGTTGATGCTGCGTAAGAAAACATCAAAGTCCTTTATCATTGTGATGTGTTTGAGTGCATATCTAATAAAGAATAAACTTTAAAATATCTGGTATTTATCTTTAAGTCTTACAATCAAACAAGTTACCAATTCCGTATCTAAATCTGAATATGATCTTACAATAGAGGTTCATAAGAAATCAACTTTATCGTGTTTTACTTGTTTATAAATATACATTTTCTACAACCGTAAGAATACGAAGCATAAATATATAAGAGGACATATGAAAAGATATTTTAGTCATTTCACTCGGCTTACTCCCTTTAGTTTCTTAAGTATTTTAGTGATTAAAAGGAATTAAAAGAAACAGAACATGTCAATATCATAAAAACTTGAAGAGAATCAAGTAAAACGAGTTAAATTTAATTTCTTATGAAATCCTCATAAAGAAATAAAACACTAGAATGATCATAAAATAGTTGATTATATTTACGAATATATAATCTAATTTTAAAGAAAAATATTTTTAACATTCTTGATAAATTGATTAGAAAAAATATTCTCGAATTATTATAATATTCCGACTTGACTTTCAATTCCATGATCAATAATGACAAACAAACGAAAACATATATTGAATGAAAGTATTTCATTTACTCAAAGTTTTTCATCATGCCAAATAATGTCTTTATTTTAGTTAGGAGAACTATTACAAATTTTCGACTTAGATTCTACTCAAAAAGTGAAATCCTTGTCGAATACTAATTCATTTCACAGTAATATATTAACAATGTAATTAATAACTAACAAATTGAAAAAGATTCTGTTGATAACGGATAGGGTCTAAAGAATATATCTCTCAGTATTCTTTATGATCTATCTGTTAGATTTCTTATTTAAATTAAACATTGAATATTCTCTTACCAGAAAACATCCATTTCACTAATTATAACAGAATATCCCATTTGAACAATTTTAGCTGGCGTATCAAATTTTGCATGACCAACACGATAAAGTGAATGTTGTCGTACTTCAATAGTATTAATCCATTGCATTTGATGATTAAATGAAAATGTTGAATAATACACTGGTATATTTTGTTTTAAAGCTAAAATAACAGCAATTTCATCCATAGCAATAACAAAACAATGACAATTATTTGTATCATTAGATATTTCTAACATTCTTTCATACCAATCCCAAGCAAATAATGAATAACTATCACCACCAATTATTGTTACAATAACTTGACCAAGTGAATTTGATTGTTTACGAAGAAGTGAACGAAGATAATCATCACTTGAATATTTAACAAATAGATTTTCATTTTTTGTTGATTTTTCTTCAGTTGTGATTGTTGAATCTATTAGTAATATTTAAAAAATAAAAGATCTATTTTTTCCAAGGAGAAATAAACTAATTTCTATGATAGAAATCATCAAAAATTATTATAACGCCTTAAGGATATAAATAATGACTGATCGTGGTTTAAAATTATCGAAAGCCATTAGAAATCAATGAAAATGACTGTAAACCATAGAAAATCTTCATTAATAGGATTAAAAGTAAAGCCCTGATTTCTAATGATTTTTATTGATTTTCTTAATTTTCAATAATTACCAATATTCTTAGTGGCTACATTTAATCTCTAATGATTTCTCTGAATTTTCCTTCATCTCTAAGCATTTCCGATGATTCATGGTGAACAGACAAAAAAAAATGAGTTTTAGTGATAGAAATAACCAGAAATCAGGAAATAAGTTTGTTCCTTCTTGACCTTTTCTTAATGAATATAATGATAAAACATAATTTTCTTTTTATGATAAAAAGAGATGCTAAATGTGAGAAGAATTGACATTTGTTACTTTTAAAACCAAAGGATATAAGATAACAACTTATTACTATTTCACATATAATAAAATTTCGTTTACAACATATTTCTGAATTTTTCTCTCGAGACGTAGGAACTAAATATATTGATTATTCGATTAAACAAAACCACTATCTTTTGTAGATCCAAACTCATAATAATTCAAAGTTTTGATTCTTTCCAATGAAATTTTATAGATTAATTTCATAATACAAAAAAAAAACAAAAAGCCAATTATATTGTACCTTTAGTAGCAATTTTTTCAATGTTTAAGGTTGTAGAAATTAAGGGTGATATTTTGGCAGTAACAGGCTGAATCATTTGAGTTAATTGTTGTCGACTTTTTTCTTTTTGATATAAATGAAAACTAATAAAAGTCATACAAACTGTAATGATCATCAAGATCATTGTTAAACACGATCGATTTGCAGTTCGCATTGTTCTTATAATGAATATCACTAATGATTTTCACCTAAGTGCACATTGATATAGTTTGTAAATAGCATAATGGAATTATTTTTATTGAAAATCAAAAAAAAACAAAACCTTGTGTACATGCACAAATTCATAGTATTTCAAATGTGTTGTTACGAAAAGAAAAAGAAAAGAAAATAGGTAACGATGGTTGAATAAACTGTCACACTGTCCTTTTTTTTTACTAAAATGAAAGGAGTAAGAGAACAGAATCTGTGTTAAATAAAACAAAATTGAAGTAAAAATTTTTAACTCTTTTTCTTTTTCTTCTTCTTTTTACTCAACAAATTTTTACTTGTCTGTTTTGTTCATTCAATTTTATCGAACTTGTAAACAATATATTTTATTGTATCTTCTCAATTAATTCTAATATATAATTGAACTAAATATAAACAACAAAAATATGAACAAGTTCTTTTATTTTTAATAAAGATATAGGCATATTTAATTCTATATGTCCAACATATGACTATTTTGTTTTTTTTTCTTTAAAATAAAATACACTTGTGTTCATTATTCTAATGCTGAGAGGCAAGCAAAATCACTATGTTGCTTAATTCTTTATTTGGCTTCATATCGAAAGAAAAAGTATCAAACAATGAAGACAACTAGTTTTTTTCTAATTTAAGAGTATCGTTATACCTACTCATTTCTTACATGATATAGAAGAAACAAAAAGGTGATCAGATTTTATCATAGATTATTAACATTTCTTAGATTATTATACTCATTGTTATCGTACTGGTTTGATAATCAACTGTGTTGACAAAT